AATGTTTAAGCCAAATCTTTATTTTCAAGTCCAAAAAGCTTAAGCTACCCACCAAAGTCTGGATCTTCATCCTCCTAAGAGGTCTGGGTGGAGCATGACCATCACCTCCTAACCCCTCACTTCTGTTCAGTTTATCCAATACTCTTCACTAAATCAACTCCATTTCCATCAGTCAGACATCTGGGTCTGTGTGACTATGTAAAAGAGCTGGCATTCTGATCTTTTTCATCTTAGCCTTCAGATTAGGTTTTAAGCCCCCTTTTTCTTGAAGCTTTCCTTGACTTCTCAGGATGGGTACTTTCCAGTCCCAGGCCCTAACGGGAGCTCCTAGGACTCTTGTTACTTCTCAAAACTGGGTATCAGCAGGGGTGGACATGTATTGGTCCTGTTTCCTTAAATTACTAGATCTGACAGCACATGAGTTACCCCATCCTGGCTAGAAATAAAGGATGAAACAAAAATAATATACATGTAATCTTAAAATTTCTATGGTCATAGTTTAGTCAACTAGTTTAAGGAAAAAATATATATATCTAGTCAAGGTTTATCTGAGAATATTTGGTTTTTTAACCCAAGCCTTAGCTACATAGCACATGATAATTAAAAGTACCAGACTGATGGAACTAATCTTATTGGATGTTTAACAGTCATAGTTTGAAGCTTATACTATTGTGATCAGAGGGACTTAAAGGACAGTTTTTGCCCCTTGCCCTCCAAGGTTGACTAAGTTCCAGGAGACTATGGAACATCTCTCAAATGTCCTGTAACTGTGGTGAGTCACCTTTCCTTTGGTTTAGGGAGGACATGGAGATCCCACAAGATGGACTTGAATCAGTGTCCAGTCTACAAAGAAGAGGGTCAACTTAAAGGAAGCATTTCACTCATGCTTCCAAGTAAAGCCAGGCATGGTCAAGCAGGACCTTCGACTTATTTTCATATAGATGGAACTGGTAAAAGAAAGGAGCCAGGGGCTCCTCCCAAGCCTATGTGACCCCTGAGGAACAGATCCTCAAATGACCTTAAGTATAAAAATAAATTGATTTATTTGGGCCAACTGTATGGTCTTAAACACCCAAAATGAAAGTATAACCAAAAATTAAAGTCATCAGTGTATTTCTTTAAGAGTTCAAGGGATTATACTTCCCAGACATTAGGTTTAAGTCTATATAAAAAGTTATTTAGACAATTGTTTCTCATTGATGATTTTGTTATTAACTAGAAAGTGCTGCTCAGATGTAAGACTTCAAATCTTGGTCTCTAATACTGTAGTCCTAACCTGTAGCTACGGGAGGCAACCAGCTATTGTTCTAAAATGAAGGATAAATTTGTTCTCTCCCCCTATTTAGAAGGCTTTGAGAGGGAACTGACACTGATTCTAACCACTCCAACAGCTATCAAAATACCTGAAAGAAAACCCTTAATCCATCACTCTAGAGTCCAACACTGGAAAACAAAAGAAAAATGAGGAGGAACCCAGTAGAGGGATGCTTTTGGAAGCCCTTGTCAAGAAATTCCAATGGATTCATATGAACATTTGAAAATTGCCCTGTTCTGACTTTTTTCTAGTTCTCTGGTGATAACTTATAATGCTAATTATTCTTGCCTTTACTTCTCCTTCACATCTCCTATTCATGATTCAAGGACTTTCTTTTTCCCTTAGAGATAAGAGATATGAAATTTGGGAGTCTTTTAGATAGACCTGCTGAAGGGTACTCCAATTGCCTCACCCTGCATCCCTGTTTAGCATGGAAAAAGCCAGAGCAGTCTGCGTCCTGATTCCCTATTGGCAATTTGGGCAACCCCTTCAGAGGATGGTGTGATAAGAATCGGAGGTAGGAATTGGCTAGGCAGTCAATGTAAAAAGACCCCAAAGAAAAATAGCCAATTTATTGGGTAAAACTCACAGTATCCTTGGGCTTCTTAGCAATATATTCTGTTCCGAAGGCCAAAAATATTGAAAGTGTTTGGGAGCTTGTATCTAATCCTTAAAAGATTTTAGGGTTACCTCTTCAAAGGGGGGAATGTTAAAGTAGCCAAAAGCTCCATAAAAATAAATAAATCAATCAAGAAAGAGAAAAAAAGGCCAGAAACAGGGCTAGAGAGATGAGTCAGTGGTTAAGAGCACTGACTGCTCTTGCAGAGGACCCAGGTTCAAGTCCCAGCACTCACATGATGACTAGCAACCATCAGTGACTCCAGTTCCAGGGGAATTCAACACCTTCTTCTGACCTCTGCAGGCACAGCACGACAGAGGTTTGCTTACACCCAAAACAAAACAAACAAAACACTATTTTTTAAAAAGCCAGAAACTTTCTGCTTTTATTTTCCATATGGGTAATAGCTACATGAACTGCAGAATTATAAGGTACAAATAATGATTCAGAAACCAAAAGAATCTGGTTTGAAAATCAGAATGTGTATACACCTCGGAGACTTTAGTTGCCATCAAAGAAACTGTTATTTAAAAGTCGGCATTTCAGTTGTTAGTCTTCCTCAGTTTGACTGGATTATGACTGGATTTTATTTACTTCCACAGGTCTTTCAGGAGGATGACATAGGACAGCTATCTGTATCAGTTACTTTTCTTACTGTGACAAATTATCTGACAAGAAGCAACTTAAGGGAGGTTTTCTTTTGCTTACAGTTCCACAGAATACAGTCACTCATGGTACGGAGTCATGGTGACAGGAGAATGAGGCAGCTGATCACACTGCATCCAGCAGAAGAGCATGTTCTATGTTCAGCTCGTTCTCTCCTTTTTACTTAGTCCAGAACCCCAGGCATAGGAATGGTGCTGCTCACTGTTAAAGTGCATCTTCCCACCTCAGTTAACCTAATCTAGATAATCCATCATAGACCTTCCCAGAGATTTGTTTCCATGGTGATTCTAAATTCCATCAACCTGATAAGATTAACCATCACACCACTCTGAACCTTAAGCATCATACTTAAAACTCACCTGTTTATAGAACACATCATGGACGTATGAAGTGTTACAGCTGATGTTTGAAAAATTAGTGGTCAGGGGATTCTGAGTAAGACTGGGTTCAGAAGTTAAAGAATAGAAATTAGAAATGACTAAATTCTTGAGCATTAACTAAGGAGCCGATCCTGTGGCTTTCTCTTCTGCCATGCCAAACACAGACACTCCTCCTAAGTTCTTCATTTTACTAGTTTTGTTTCACCTTCAAATGCTCACGTTCACTTAGGCCTGTGTCATCTTCTACACACTGCACTACTCTGGGGTAACATGCTGGTCTCTTCAGCCCACTCCACCTCTTTGTGAGATAGTCAGACCTGGGGTGTAGACTTGTCCCACTTGCAACTGTCAATGCTGTCTCCTGGAGAGGAGGCAGGGACTCCAGGTTCTGGGACCGAGGCAGGCCTGGTGAGGAAGCCAAAGCACAAGGATGACTTACTGCCAAGCCTTAAGGGGTGGACCTGTGGGCTTGGGGTTGCCCTGGATGGGGCCCCCAACTACCAAATTAAGGAGAAATTGATCATTATACAACAGTCAGAAATTGAGTGGAAGAGCCCCTAACAAACTTGCCAGCTTCCCTGCCCTGGGACAAGAGCACTCCACGTAAAGAAACTAGTGTGTGTGTGTGTGTGTGTGTGTGTGTGTGTGTGTGTGTGTGTGTCAAATTAGACTCTATAGGCCTTATTTCATATATATATATATATATATATATATATATATATACCTTAGCTTTTTGGTTTTACTTTATTTATTTATGTATTTGAAGCAAAGACTCCTTATAGAGCCCAGTTAGACTCTGAACTCTCCATTCTCCTGCTTGGTTTCTAGAGGAGCTGAAGTTACAAGCAGGTGTCCCTATGAACAAGTAATTTTTAATTTTTATGTCTATAGTTCCTCAAAATATATTTGGTAGAAAAGAAGTTTGTGTTTTTTTGTTTTCTGTTTATTTTGTTTGTTTTTAGACAGACATAATCAAGGAAATTGTGGTGGAAATGAGCAAAGAATAAATGGTAAACCAAAGACTAGTGATAGAGTGATATCCATGGAGGCTGCCAGATGCTGGACTCTTAAACTCCTGCCACAAGGTTCAGGGGGAAGGCCCTATGTAGCCTCAAAGAAGTGTGCAGAGGCATTTTTGCTAGTAATAGTGACTGAGGGGAATTCCTGCCCAAGGAACTACTCTATCTAAACTGTCGGTGGTGCCTTCTTTAAGACTCATAAACTATCAGACAACATCAGTTGCTACCAATCAGCCCCGTGGATCCTGGTTCTGGTCCAGAAGAACTCTGCTGAAGTGTGTGGAAGGGCCCATGTTAAATCTGCAATGATACCCTACCCCAAATTCAGGGCTTTATTTCCTTGACCACTTCTTAAAGCATGCTTCAGTATAGAGGATGGGCAGACCCAAAAGTATGACTCAGACAGACAGTGTAGGTAGGGCTAGGAGGAGCTTTGCCCTTTGATCTCTGGGGACTTGTGTCACCCATTGTTACCACTGAGTATATCTACAACCTTAGAGGAGGCAGACATTGCACAAGAACCCCTGCCTTGTTTGTGGGTGACACCTCCATTCCTCCGCCTCACGCTACCCCACGCATGGCTGTTGGTGCACACTTGAGTTAGAACTCAGCTACAGAAGCCCTGCTGCTGAACTGAGAATGCCCTTGAGGACTAATGTTCCCCAGCTACATGAGAATAGGCCATCACTCTGCTACTCTGCCATTTAGTGACCTAATGAATGGCTCAGGAAATCTTCACTGTCAGAATGTCCCTTCTGACTTTGCAAGGACTAAAGGTTATTCTGAGAAACTCTGCAGTAACCAGTAGAAATCAGAATCAGAAAACATGAGTCCCATCCCAACACTGACAGGCTGACCATGGGCTTAGCAGGTACGGCTGCCCTTAGACCCTCAGTCCCTTCTACTAGGAAAAGCAGCCTGGCCTGACAGAGGCCCACAAGGGAGATACCATGAGGCTAGATACCATGTGGTTAGGTACCCTGGAAATGCTGGTCACTTACAAGCTCTGAGAAGCCACGGACCACCTGTCGTTGCTTTAGGTTGGTCTCTCCGTCTAGGTTGGCAGTCTCAATGTGGCACAGCCCATCCGGGTCACTGGAGGACAGTAGTAGAATGTCCGCAGGTATGATCTCATTACAGCGAAGATGCACGAAGTCGCCCACGCGGATTTCTTTCCAGTATCGATTCACATACTTCTTTTCTTCCCTAGTAAGAGATTTTGGTTAACACAGCTGGCAAGGCCTGACTACATTAAATCTGGGTGATTTGCAAGATATTAAAAAGTTGTTTCTACTTTTTTACAATAAAGTTTTAAAAAATACTAAGATTGGGGCTGGAGAGATGGCTCAACGGTTAAGAGTGCTGGCTGCTATTGCAAAGGGCCTGGGTTCCATTCCCAGGACCCACATGGCGGCTAACAACCATCCGTATTCCAGTTCCACTGCATCCAACATACTCTTCCATCCTCTACAGGCATTGCACGTATAGGTGGACTTAGATACACGTGGACAAAACACTCATACATATTAAATAAATAAATAATAAATAAATAAAGTTGGGGCTACATATTGCATATTTGTATGAAGTGGCCAGAATAGACAAAACCAGAGACAGAAGGTGGATTCATGGCTGCTGAGGCTAGAAGCAGAGAAATGGGAAGTGACTGCTTAATGAGTGAGGTGTTTCCTTCTGGGGTGACTGGAGCTAGACAGTGTTGTGGGTGTACAACACTGTGGATGTGGTAAATGCCACTGACTTGCTCACATGAAAATGGTTAAAATGACCACTCCTAGGCATGTGCCCCCAAAGGACAGAAAGCAAAGCTTCAAACAGACTGTCAGTTTTCACTGTGGTATTACAACAGCCACAATGTGGAATTCAACTCACTCTCCAGTTGATAAGCAGGCAGGCACACACACAAGGGAAAATTATCCACTGCTTAAGAAGAAATGCCATCACACAAGAGAACCTTGAAGGTGTTATGCTATGTGAAATAAGGATTCACAAAAAGGCTATTGCATGGTTCCACTCATGAGGTAGAACTTTATAGAGAAAGTAGATCAGGGTTTCTAAGGATTAGGGGAGGAAGAACAAGAGGTTTTTTCATGGGTGCAAAGTTTCTATTTGGTGCTGAAAAAGTTATGGCACTAGACAGTGATAATAGTTGAACTACACAGTATCACTTAATGCCAAATTACGTACTGGTGATGATTACAGTGGAAAATTTTGTTGCACTTTTTGTCCTAATTTAAGAATGTTAAAACGGTTGAAATAGTAATTTTTGAGATGCTTGTTTTATCACAATAAAAAGAACACCGCTTAAAAACTGTAAACCCTGTGAAACCAGGTTTAAATTACACCAGGATAGCAAGATGCTGAGTGGTGCAAAGTGTAGACACTGAAGCACAAGACCTGGGCCTGACCTCTGAGAAAACCTGCCACATCCACGTCACGATGTCCTGTCTGCAAAATGGACACAGACCAGGTTCTCCTTTCTTCGCATCAGGATAAGTAGATGATACCAGCCACCTGCTGAGAACAACTGCTGACCTCAGCAGCCTTCAAAATCTGCTGGTTACCACCAACAGAAATTTACATAACCTCTGGAAAAAGAAGCTCACTAATCCAGCACAAAGCTTATTTAAGGTGTTTCTTGAAGGCAGCTTTGACATCTGGATTGAAGGACAGAGTACACAGAGTTGATCACCAATGTTTCCAACTGTTTTTGATAACACACTGTGAATTTGAAAGACTCCTGAGAAAGTTCAAGGGCTGCTTGCCATTAGGGCCACCTTCCATCACCATACGTCTCGTCTAGTCTTGTCTCCTCTCATCTCTCCCCTCCCCTCCCCTCCCCTATCCGCCCGGCTCTTCTCTTCCCATCTGAGGTGATGGCGGGCCTCGGCTCCTAGGGAGCTCGTTTTTCCTCTCCTCCGGTCTTTCCTCCCTACCCACCCCTCCTCTCCTCTCCTCTCCCTCCCTAACCCCTCTCATTTCTTGATACAGAATCTTACTAAGTTGCTCAGGCTGACCCCATACTCCTGGGCTCAAATGTTCCTCCTATCTCAGAAACTCAAGTAGCTAGAAATACAAATACATGCCACTGCTCCTGGCTCCCCTTCCATTTTAAGTCTCTACTGTCCTATGTTTCTTTAATTCAGGATCCACCAAACCAATTATGTTCAAAGTATAGCTCTGGCCACTATAAAGCAAAGAATTAAATGCAGCTTCTACCCTGGAATATAAACACTAGGAGAGACACAGCCACTAGAGTGTGCAGTGTGGGTGGTGGCAATCAAGTCCACACAAATGGCCACCAAGCCCACACTTCCTACAAAGCAAAATATTCTTCAGTATGGGTCCACTACAGTGACCAGCCCCATCACCTGTTGCCCACATAGACCTAACATGATTAGCTTAGGGAACCACCTAAGCTAATCACATTAAGGTGGGGAATTCGGAGAGAAGGTATAATAGTGGTACTCCATCACCAGGCCACCTTGCTTAATAACTGCCAGCCTGATTGCTTCCAAACTTAGAGTCAAATGGCCTTGATGTCAAACAGAAGAAAACATGTTAAGCATATTTTTTTTCTAAATGTCAGCCCTTGACTTTATACTATTTATAAGCATTGTCTTTAAGCATTCTTCCTTATCAAGACCACTGCTACGTTCCTACAGAAAGTACAAAGCAATCTCAAAGGGCTGGTCCTTTTGGAAGATGTTTTCCTGAAGATAAGTCACCATTCTCTCACAGAGAATGGCAGCACATGTCCTCAAATCAGTGGGGATGGCTTTGGTCCAGTGGCATCCCCAGATGGGGTGGTTTGGGGACTCATCCGAGGACAGTGGTGACAGGAAGGGAAGCACAGCAGCACCATCTATGTCCAGTTTATACATCGATAATCAGAAAGCGGGGCCTGTCCTCCCCATTAGAGATCAGTTTTAAAATAGTAACAAGGGAAGCAATTGTATCCTGAAGGGTATTCTCTAGAGCTAATCAACTGGGGGCACCATGTGGCAGCCTAAGGCCACAGTCTTCACATGAACCTCAGGACAGGGCATGAGCAGAGAGCAGCAGTCCCCATTCAAGATGTTCAGAAGAACCCTGCTCCCAAGAAAAGGCTGCAGAAATTTCTGCCTTGGCAGATCCTGAAAACCTCAGAATCAGGAATCACTTGTAAAGAGCTCCTTATCACCTCCATAAGACTGATGGGAGCAGATGCCTCACTGAGAAGCAAGTCAGTGTCAACAGTCTACATTACTACATCTTTCCTGATGCTTTTCTCTTAATTATTTGTATTCTTTCAATGATAAATGCTTGCATATTTACATTAAGAGCAATCCATACCACCTCCACTCATGGGAGGTATGATAGATACTGAATATTTTTCCTCAGCCTGTCCTGAAATTGTGTTCTACCAACTTTGAAGGTTGAAGTTCTAATCCCTTCTACTAGCTCAGACTGCATTCCTGAGTGAAGGTGGCATCATGGGGTGGCAGTACAATCTGAGTAGTATCCTTATAACAAAAGGAAAAGACAATAGAGACAAGACCATGTGAGGACACTGTGTCATGATGGACATTTACAGACCAACGACACCAGCCTCTTGAGCAATCAGTTCCACAGACACTCTGATGCAGACTTGGAGGAAATACATTTCTGTTGTTTAAGCCATCTGGTCTCAGTACTTGGTTATGGCAGTCCACGTAGATTGATAGAGTCAGACATTGCATAATGATTTCAACAATGTATGGTCAACATCAGCTGATGCAATGGTGATCTGGAAATTTCCCATCCTATAATGACATCATAACTGTTCTAACACCAGGGCATAATGCTTGACTTCTGGGTCTGCGGGGGGTGGGAGGTTGTCACAAATGAGGCTCCTGAGCTGCTTGTTGCATAACATAACGTACAGCAGAGACAATTATGTATGTGATACAATATTAGATGATGTTTGACTATCACTGGTTTGTATGCTTACTTCACAACACTTTTTATCTTTTCCTCCCACACCTCCCCACCTGGTGCTGAGAACCAAACCCATAGCTTCTTTACCACTGAACTAAACCCTAACCCCTCATCATGGTTTTAAAACATGCTTCTAGTTATAAACAATGTTTCCTGCAAAGCAGTGTGCCAGTTCTACAAACAGCAGACTCACATCTATACTTACTTCATCACCTGATTGCATCAGGAGATCACATGCAGTGACCAGTCTAGGTCTGTGTAAGTACGTGTGGGCCACCAGGATGCCACTATGATGTTCCCACAAGAGTGAGAGCGCCTATCTGCTGATGATGCCTGTGGTGGAAAGCATCCCCACTGTTAGGTATCACATGACTATCTCCCTACTGACTTTGAATACTGTGACTGGCTAGAAGGAGCAGCACACAGCCTGCAGTACCAGAAAAGGAGTGAGCAGAGGAAGTAGGAGGGGAAGAAACAACTTGCTGTCCCGATTTAGCCATGTGCTTGTACTGCACAGCCCCCAAAATGTAAGCAGAGACAGTACCTCGGAGAAGGCAGAAACAAATCCACCTGATTCACGGTGGCCTCTTAGTAGTATTCTTCTTTAGGCACTGACCCAGTGACCAACTTGGATTTACCTACTCTTTCCTCAGGCTACTGTGATCAATGCTCAGGTGAGTGAGACATGTGACCATTCCCCACCACAGGGAACATCTCAGAGGTCATAGTCCTCCAGGGCCTCTGTACAGATTCCTTCATTCTACCCCATGCGGGGAAAGCTGCTCTTCTCCAGGACCCACCTGAGAAGCATGAATTGCACTTTCTACAGTCACAGAACTGGGCTGCTTGGGTGGTAAAGCACAAGTGTAGTACGCATGAGACCCTGGATATGATCTCACCCCACAAGAAAAAAAAAAAGAAATAAACAAATTGAGACCGTTTACAGCAATTACAGTCCTCAATACAGCAGATGAGCTTATAGCAATTTTAGAAAGTGACAGTTTAGGTTGACTATATTGTGTTATTTTAAGGGCGGGTGCCAACCTAATGTGGCAACAAAGTCTGAAATGGTTCCAAGACCCCAACTGCTGGTACCTAGGCTTGTACAAGACTTCTGTGAATGGGGTAGAGTCTGTCACATTCTGCAGGTTGAATCCACATCCACAGGCTGAACCACAGAGAACAGTCCATCAGGGATTTGTCCTAGCCACATGAGCCTTGTGAATCTTAGT